ATATTTCTGTTTTATCTTAAAAGTTCATGTGAAATTTGCATTCTATTCCATGATATAGAAATATATTTTACCTGAAAATTAAGAAAAATTAGTTTTTCCTCAAATATTACTGATGCACATACACAAAAAATATGCCAACTCTTAATTTCAGTGAAAGCCCTGACACTTATTTTTCTCCAGTCAGAAGTTTATAATTTTAACAGGCAACTGATATTAAAAAAAAAAAAAATCTGACTTATATGCCATATATTACTAATGATAAATCATTACTCATGACATTTTTTTCAACTCAAAGGGCTGAACATCGGATTTGTTCATTTTTTAAGGCTAAATGAGGGAAAAGGGCTACATAAGCATCATAACAAACACGAGTTGCCATTGAGCTGATTATGATTTATGGAGAGATACAACATGTATGTTAGTGTAGACCTGTGTTCCATACAGTTTCTAATGGCAGTGATGTTTTGGAAGTAAATAGCTAGACCTTTCTTGTAAGGTGTCTCTAGCAAGATTCTATTGCCAATCAGGTTCACCACTCACACCACCCAGGGACTCCACATAGACACCACTGCTGTTGCTGTTAAGTGTCGTCAAGTTGGATCCAACTTATAGTGACCCTGTATAGGTTTTCCAAGAAGCAGCTAGTGAATTTGAACCACTGTCCTAGGAGTTCAACCCAACTTTACAGCCAGCACATTAACCCGCAGCGCCACACCAGGACTATCATAGAAACAAGTAAATACCTGAGAACTTTCACTACAGAAGTATAACCAATAGGTATTTTCTCCATTTCCTTTTGACAACACTTAGGGAATTTGGCCTCCCTAGCTATAAATGCAAGGAGCCCTGGTGGTGCTATAGGGTAAACACAGGACTGCTAAGCAAAAGATTGGTGGTTTGAGGCCACCAGCTATCCTTGGGAGAAAGATGAGGATTTCTGTTCCTGTGAAGATTTACAGTCTCAGAAATGAATGCTACACAGGATTGCAATGAGTTGGAATCAACTCAAAGACAGTGCTTAACAACAACAATAGGTCGAGTATGAAAGACTATTATTCTAAGTTGGGTCCGACTCATAGGGACCCTGTGTAGTGTTTCCAAGGGGCAGCAGGTGGGCTTGAACAACTGACCTGGTGGTTAGTCTAGTGCTTCCCCTATAGCACCACATGGAAGACGCTGTTGTTAAGTGCTGTCAAGTCAGTTCCGACTCAGAGCAACATTGCATAGGGTTTCCAAGGAGTGGTTAGAGAACTTGAACCGCTGACATTGTGGTTCAAACTGACTTTGCAGTCCAGTGCATTAATCTACAGTGCCACACATGGAAGACTAGACAGTAATTACTCAATGTGCATGCCAAACAGATAATTTGTGAAGTGGAATAATAAGAATATGGCACCAAGATTGAAGGAAGACTCTAACAAATTGTGATATAAAGGTGACACTACCTTGTTTGTTGAAAGTGAAGAGGACTTGAAGCACTTACTGATGTAGAAGAAAGGACTACATTGTTCAGTATAGATTATATCTTAATATTAAGCAAATAAAAATTCTCACAACTGGATCAATAAGCAACATCATGATAAATTGAGAAAAGACTGAAGTTGTTAACGTTTCCGTTTTACTTGGACCCATAAACACCCATGGAAGCAGCAGTCCAGAAATCAGTGTACTGCATAGGGCCAATCTGCTGCAAAAGACCTCTTCTCAGTGTTAAAAGGCAAAGATGTTTCCTTGAGGACTAAGGGTGCACCTGATTCAAATCATGGCATTTTCAATCACCTCGTATGCATCTGAAAGCTGGGAAATGAATAAAGAAGACTAAAAAAAAAAATCATGCCTTTGAATTATGGTGTTGGTAAAGAATATGGAAATTAACAAAGATTGCCTGCCATAAGAACAAACAAATCTGTCTTGGCAAAGTACAGTCAGAATGCTCCTTAGGAGGGAGATGGTGAGACTTTCTCTTACATACTTTGGACATATTATCAGGAGAGACTAATTCCAGGAAACTGACATCATGTTTGGTAAAGGGTCAGGGAAAAAGAAGAAGATCCCCAATGAGTTGACAAAGCGGCTGCAATAAACCGCTCAAACAATGACTGTGAGGCTGTATTGTACATAGGGTCTGTAGGAGTCAGAACTGCTGAACGGCACCTAATAACAATATGTACAGATGATACTATGTTGTTGTTTTTAGTTGCCATGTAACTGATTCTGACTCATGACAGCCCAATGTGTATAGAACAGAACAGGATTTTCAAGGTTGTCACTCTTCAGAAGCCTATCACCAGGTGTGCCTTTTGAGGCATCCTTTGTTGTTTCTGAACAGCTAAACTTTCATCTACTAGTTGAGCGCTTAACTGATTGTGCCACACAGCTGCTTAGGTTCAATCATTTCAAAATATTTATGGTTGATTTTGCTCTCTAAAGTTGTTATTTTGACATGAACAAATGCAACAAAATTATGAATGCAAAGCAAAACTACATTTTACAAAGAGGAATTTTAAGTAATAAAATATGGGGAAAATATGGAACAAATCAGCAGAATTATTTGTTCTCTGGAAGACAAAATATTAAACAAAAGTGATTCCAACGAAAGTAAATGATAAATGTTAAATAAGATTTGAAAATGAACAGGCTCTGTTAAGACCCATAATCGTTTACATGTGAAATGTGATAATTAAGCTATTCTTTCTACATGGCAGTTGTATACTGAAAGTTGAGTGTAGATTGACACACTTTCAGAGTATACTGAAAGTTGTATACGCTCAACTTTCTGTATGCTCAACTTTCACACAGAACTGTGAGAACGGTGTAGGTCCCAGTAGCCACAGGATCACATGTATAGAAATGACTGATATGTTAAAAAATAAATACATAAAAGATTTTATATATATATATTGTTGTTGTTAAGTGCTGTCGAGTCGATTCCGACCTATAGCGATCCTATACAGGATTTCCAAGGCTGTAAATCTTGACAGGAGTAGAAAGCCTCATCTTTCTCCTGCGAAGTGGCTGGTAGTTTCAAACTGCTGACCTTAAGGTTCACAGCCCGATTCATAACCACTACGCTAC